TTTTTGTATTTTTGGGGAAGAGTCTACAGGGTGTGCAGGGTCTCACTACTAGATCAGACTCATAGTGATCCGCTTGTTTATAGCTTCCCAAGAGCTGGGATTACAGGCATGTGCCACCATGCCCAGTCTCAATTGCCAGCTCAGCGTATCCTGGGGGTAGGGCTGGCATGGCAGGCCCAGGGATCAAACCCCCGACACCCCTGGTCCTACTTGCAGGCAGTTTTAATCCACTCAGCAATTTGGCCTGCCCTGAGCACTGCCTCTAAAAGATAAGAAAGGTTCCAATGTAGAATTCTATGTCCATCTGTACTATAAATAAGGGACCAATAAAACAAAGACTTTAAGTCTCAAACGTTTAACTCCCATTTTCCTCTTCCTAAGATTAGACGTTGAAAGAAAAAAAAAAAAGATCCTGGAAATAAAATGTCCAAGCCAAGCCAAATAAGATTCTGCAGGGTAGTGATGAAAGGATAGTCAAGAATTACTGCCATGCCATACCTCAGAATTAGCCCACACTGGAGCAAGATGAGTGCCTGGAAAGGTAACTCTGTAGAAGATGAAACTGATAAACTGATCATTCATACTGAAAAAAGTTGTACATCTTTGGCAAAGAATCCGGTGATTAATGTGTTAAGTAGTAAAGAAAGCAACTTAACAAACAGGAGGGAAGGAATTACTCTAGGACTGACTGAGATTACAGGTTTAAACTGAGTAACAGATGATTTCTTGTGGAAAAAAAGTCCAGGGGACAGTCTAGGTCTCCTGTGGCCACAATCCAGGGTGTCGGGTAAGCAAATGGGTCCTTTCTTGTAACAATTCTTTCAATATGTTCGGCCTCACCCGCCAAGAACTCAAATCACTGCAACCGCATTCCAGCAAGTAATGAAAAAGAAACAAGGAACAGAACAGCCCTTCTTCCTCCATTTCTTTAGAACACTTCCAAGGTGCTGGCTCTTCCCATAGCCCAGGACTCAGTCATGTGGCTATACCAAGCTGAAGGCTCTAGTATTCATTCAAAAAAAAGGTGAGAGGGAAGAAAGAATGGAGAAATGGCTAAAAATCTCTATTATTTTCCTCCAGAACTAGTCTTAATTTTCCACCGTATCTTTCTTCATGCTGTGTATTCATCTCTAACAGCTATTCTTCTGTATCTTCAGGAGACTGGATCCAGGATCCAGTAAAGACACCAAAACCACAATGCTCAAGTTCTCTATACAAAATGTTATAGTGTTCACATAACATACACTCACCCTCATATTATAAGTCACCTCTAGATGTTTATAATACCTCATACAGTATAAATGTTAGATACACTTATGTTATATAGTACTGTATTGTTAAGGAAATAATGAAAAGGAAAAGCCAACACATACTCGGGGTACACAATTTTCTCCTCAACATTTTTCTTCCATTTTTAGTTGGCTCTGCAGAAACTGGACTTGAAGATTCAGAGGGCTGACAGTGTTTCTCTCAGTTTGTGTTTTGCAGGACCATAACTTCCATGAGGAAAGGAACTATGCTTTGTGTTCGCCTCTGTATTCAAGTTTCTGAAAAAGTACATGGAGCATAGAAGAAATGCAGTAATAACAAAAAGACACACCCGCAAGTGTGCTTTACTAATTTCTCCAACCAATCAAGTTGACAATCATGTATGTGAAATGTATATGTGACAATTTCAGCACCAAATGAAAAGCAATTAAAGCTGGGAAAAAAAATAAAATGAATGGAAGGAATAAATGGAAATAAAATGGGAAAAAATAATTAAAATATATTATGTATAAGTACAAATTCTACATGATGAATATGATCATTATATATGGCAAACACGTATTAATAAAAAAGAATTAATAAAAAAGAAATGTAATAATAATGGATTGAATGATTAAATAAATTAACCCAAAGGTGAAGAGGATTCTAAGACAATATTTAATACTACAGATGCAGTGGACGCAAGCAATATTTTAGTCTTGCTTATTTAGAATTGGATGTTATGGATGTGTCTCTTCTAAAAAAGCTTCCTCCAGAATTACTCAGTTAAAACAATTTTATCTGAACAAATGATTCAAAGCAAACCTTTCACCAAGCACAAACCAATACAGCCACAGGCAACAGGCTGCAATAATCCCGTGGTCCCAGGGTTACTTCAGTGAGACCAATAGCTCACCTGCTAGGAAGAATGACGTAAACATTAATATAGTGTAAATTAACATAAATTAAGGGTAAAACATCTAATGTGAACATTAAAAGACTCCAAGAGTTTATTTTGAGAGAGTGTCATGAAGAGATCTGAATCACTGCCCACAAATTAATAGATGCTGTGACTGAAAATTCACACAAGTACATCTCAGCAGAGCAGAGACAAATAGAAAAATCGGCTCAAGAAGGCTAAAGGAAGTCGTTCTGGGAACCACGCACCAGGAGGGAAGCCGGCTAGGCAGTTTTAAATCTCACAGAACTAGCTGACAGCAGCCCCGCCCCTCGCCC